TATCCCTCCTGCGTCTCCTCATTACCTGCAAAGTGTTCTTTACTTTTGGTGCTGAAAGTTTCATGTGGATCTCCTGAACGTCTAAAGTTCAAAGGACTCAAAAACGCTGGAACAAAATAACTCGAGTTAAAGAGTCAAAGAGTCAAAGAGCGCCAAAGCTCAACTTTGAGGGCCTGAAAGGCAAAAATATACAAAATATACAGTAATATGTTTCACATGGCTTCGTTCAACAAAATAGTAAATTTATTGTATGCAAAATAAATCGGCTGCTCCTGAGGGAGGCAGGTGGGACGTTTCTCAGATGTGGGATAATCCACATGTGTATTTGCTGTACTTGTAGCTACATTATGTTTAATGTTTTGGCTGCTGTATCAGAGGAATTTGGGGGCTAAATAAAGTTTATCTTCTCCTAAATTGTCCGAGAACCTGAGGGACTAAGAGGGAGTTTCCATCCACATTTCTCAGCACTCCTGATGCTTCTGTCTTGTTTTTCCCTGCGATAACGTCAACGTGTCCTCTGAGGATGGAAAAAGTTTACGAGCCACGTAGCGAAAAGGCAACGTCGCTCATCCAGACTCGACGCGCGATGTCAGCTCCTCCATTAAAAGTGATGGAAAGTCTCCTTTTGTCCGCGGCCCGGCTCGGCCTCAAAGAACCAGACTCCCCGGCCCTCGAGTCCTAACTCACTGTAACGGCCCACGTTAGTCTTCATCCCGAGGGGGGAGGTGATGAGATGTTTATGCACGGAGCAGGTCGAAGGTCAAATGAAAGCTTTGTGTAGATTTGTATTTTGTTATCGTACAGTTGTGTTTGCAAATTAGAAAGTCTGTCTGTGCCAGTCAAAGCGTGAGCGCACACACATAATTATTATAGTTATTTATTATTATTTAAAGTGATTTAATGAATTATTTTCTGACTTCAGCTTTAAGTAAACTCAATATTTCTGCAGTTTTGACTTCGATGTGTCAAAAGAAGCAAATTAAAGATTTAATCTTTGGCTCCAGGAACTCGAGAACCTGTCGCTGTTCATGTGGACGAGAACTGGGGCGGCGATTAATCAGAAAGCAGACAGAGGGCAGCTCCTTGTGTAACGTACACGCGTCATGCAGGAATATTATTTCTTAATGAGACGGATGATAAAGCAACATGAAGTGTTTCACCCTGATCCAGCTGCACTCGCTCTGCTAATGAATGAAATAAGTCACATGAATTTTTCTCTCTTATTTTACTTTATTAAAGAAGTCCAAGCTTCCCACCACGTGGCCTCCATGGACCCACGCGCA